GTTGCGGGCCACCCGCCCGCCCCTGCCCCAGGGGGCGGGGGGGGAGAAGGGGGGCGGGGGGTGTCTGCTTCTAATTAAAGCTCCACGCTAACTAGTTTAACACTAGAAACATTTTTTTATATATTACTGCAGAAACATGTTGTACGTATACTCGTACACGATCAGGATGTTATATTGAGTGTTGAGGAGTCTGGACTGTAGCGAGGAGTTTGCTTTCCAGTTACCACTGGCCGAAGGATGACGTAGAAGGGAGCGTAGGTTTTTTACGCCGTTACATTTGGCATTATTTTGGGCTGGTACGTTCAAGTGTAGCTTTACGATGAGACATTATGCAATTGAAACACTTCAATCTAAAGTCAGAAACGTACCCTTTTTTACTCTGTATCTGTAAACAGGAGGGATACATCCCTTTTTTTTGCCTTAGACTGAGAAAATACTCTTGTTCCTGTCTTCAGATCAGAGAACACCACCGAAAAGTCAGGAAGGAGGCTAAAAAACGTGGACGTAAAAAGCCCAAGAAAGATCCTGGTGTTCCCAGTGCTGCACCATTTAAGGAAGAGCTTCTACGGGAAGCGGAGCAAAGAAAGCAGAGGGTAAAATACAATTTTGGTAAAGGGGACAAGAACTGAGACCATTCCTATCTTCAAGGAAGCTTTGTGTGTATGTTGCGTGCACATGTGCACGCCCAGAGGTGCAACCGTGGTAGATTATACATGGTCCTAGTAGACATGTACTTTGGAAAAATAATATATTTATTTCCAGCATTATACAGTGTGTAACAATTACTTTTAACCTTCATTTCATCACTGTATAAACATGCTGGAAGTGTCATTTTTAATGTAATCAGAATTGCCTGTGATGCTAAGATACATAGGTGTCCCATCAGAAGGCAAAAAGTTAAGTCTTGGCATTATGTGATTATACAGAAAATAAGGGTCTGCTGTCTGCAGCACGGAGTAATGTGACACGAGAGCAGCACCCTTATCAGTTGTAATGTTGCTGCTGCACGGCTCTTATTTTGGGATCTAGCTAATGGATGTGTGGCCTCTGGTTTTGAGGCAATTGAAGGCAACAGTATTCGTTTCAGGGTAGGATGCAAAAAAAGTTCCCAGTGTCACTTGGACAGCCATGACTTCTAAATAAGCTGTGTCTGGAACTTTGGTCAGAAATAAGTAAATGGGGAGAAAGAACAGTCTTACCACCTTCAAATGTGTTTTATCTGGCTTGGGGTTTTGTTTGCAATCAGCTTGAAGAACTAAAACAAAAGCAGAAGCTCAACAGACAGAAAGAACATGAAAAGAAGAGGAAGCTTGAAGCTAAAAAGAATGCAGCCAACATCAAGGAAAAAGCAGAGGGAAAGGTAGGTGTCTGGTATGATTTTGATTCTCTGAAGCTTATAGAAGCAATAAAAGTCATCCTGAAACTACATCTTCTTAAGCAGTATGTTACGTGTTACATTTTCGTGTTGTATATGCACGCACGTAGAATACACTAATTCTCAGTTAAATCATTCCCTTTCATTTTTATTTGCATTCAGGGATCCTCTGGCAAATCTAAAGCAAAGACTAACAAACTGCTGGATAAAAATTCAAAGAAATCATTTTGCAGGGAGCTCAAGAAGGTGAGATGTTT